AAACCAACAGGAATCTTTACCCTGCCTTAGCAACAAAGGACCAAAGAAAACAGTGGTTATGCTTTATTTTAGCAACAACATGCTGGCTACAGTAGGTACTAATTTGTTTGTTTGTGCCACTTTACTTCAAACTGCCTCAACCATGAGGGCTGACCATAAAATTTTAACATAAGGTAATTTAAAAATTTGAGTCATTCTGTTGGAGTGTCATAATCAAATCAGTTAGTCATGACTTTAAAGCAGATCCTAAGCTTTTATTACAATGCATCCAGAAAGTATTCATACCACTTCACTTTTTCCACATTTTGTTATGTTACAGCCTTATTCCAAAATGGATTAAATTCCCTTTTTCCCTCAAAAATTCTACACAAAATACCCCATAATGACAAAGCGAAAAACTTTTTTTAGAACATTTTGCAAATTTATTAAAAATAAGAACACTCAAATGTTGCATATACATAAGTATTCACACCCTTTATTCAATACTTGGTCAAGCACCTTTGGCAGCGATTACAGCCTCTCGTCTTCTTATGTATGATGCAACAAGCTTGGCACACCTGGATTTGGGGAGTTTTTCCCATTCTTCCTTGCACATCCTCTCAAGCACAGTGAGGTTGGATGGGCAGCGTCGGTGCACAGCTACTTTCAGGTCTTTCCAAAGATGTTTAATCGGGTTCAAGTCTGGGCTCTGGCTGGGCCACTCAAGGACATTCAGAGACTTCTCCTGAAGCCACTCCTTTGTCTTCTTGGCCGTGTGCTAAGGGTCATTGTCATGCTGGAAGACGAAGCATCACCCCAGTCGGAGATCTCGAGTGCTCTGGAACAGGTTTTCATCAAGGATTTTGATGTACTTAGCTGCATTCATTTTTCCCCACAGCATGATGCTGCCACCACGATGCTTCACTGTAGGGATGGTATTGGCGAGGTGGTGAGTGGTGCCTGGTTTCCTCCAGACATGACGCTTGGCATCCAGGCCAAAGAGTTCAATCTTCGTTTCATCAGACCAGAGAATTTTGTTTCTCCTGGTCTGTGAGTCCTTCAGGTGCCTTCTAGCAAGGTCCAAGCGGGCTGTCATGTGCTTTTTACTGAGGAGTGGCTTCTGTCTGGCCACTCTACCATAAATGCCTGACTGGTGGAGTGCTGCAGAGATGGTGGTCCTTCTGTAGGGTTCTCCAATCTCCTTAGAGGAACGCTGGAGCTCTGTCAGAGTGACCCTCAGGTTCTTGGTCACCTCCCTGACCAATGCCCTTTCCCCCGCTTGCTCATTTTGGCTGGGCGGCCAGCTCTAAGAAGAGTCCTGGTGGTTTTAAACGTCTTCCATTTCTTAATGATGGAGACCACTGTGCTTTTTGAGATCTTCAATGCAGCAGATATTTTTCTGTAACCTTCTCCAGATCTGTGCGCCAATACAACCCTGTTTCAGAGGTCTACAGACAATTCTTTCAACTTCATGGCTTGGTTTGTGCTCTGGCATGCTCTGTCAGCTGTGGGATCTTATATAGACAGGTGTGGCTTTCCAAATCATGTCTAATCAGCTGAATTTGCCACAGGTGGACTGCAATCAAGTTGGAGGAACATTTCAAGGATGCACCTGAGCTCAATTTTGAGTTTTATATCAAAGGGTGTGAATACTTAGATATATATGCAACATTTGATTGTCTTTATTTTTTTTATAAATTTGCAAAATGTTCTAAAAAAAGTTCTTTGCTTTGTCAATTTTGTGTAGAATTTTTGAGGGAAAAAGGGAATTTAATCCATTTTGGCATAAGGCTGTAATGTAACAAAATGTGGAAAAAGTGAAGTGGTATGAATACTTTCCGGATGCACTGTAGCTGTGACTTGTTTGTAAATATAAATCTACAACTGCTTTACCATGAATGTTGAAACGCTTTGTCAAATCTCCATGAAAACAAAATTAGATGGTTTGCAAACCATTTAAAGCCCATGTCTGATTAGAATAGACAAAAGACAATATGAAGCATTGTAACTAAAAAGTACTATATGTTCTTCTCTTCTTATCGAATATCCCCTCTGGAATAAATAAAGTTCTCATCTTCTTATCATATTAAATTTGACACAAGCAACACTTTTTAAAAGCGTTGGTATGGAGACAACAAAACATATCAAAAAATGTACATCCTACATCCATCTAATCATATTAGTTTCAACAGGTTAGTAATGTGATGAGTCCTAAAAGGAGCTTTTACTACTCTGTGAGATACAGGGCACCAAATATCAACTCATCCTGATGTCCCTCAAGGATTCCTTCTTGGCCCATTGCTGTCACCTTACAAGCTGTCTCGAAACACGCTTTTACTCTTTAACCTTTAACTGCTCTTGACTAAACCAGCTCAGTTTTCCAAATGTCTAAAAATGATAATGTTAGTAGTGTTTGTAATGGCTCAAAAGATGACAATTATCAAATTAGCCTAACTAAAAAAGTCTGATTTCCCTGATGCCATAAATCAGTATGGTCAGAATGCAGAAGATCCTCACACAGGGCGTCATCCAAGAGTAGCTACAAGAGTGCATAATTAAGGTAAATAACATAATTGTAATTCATTAACAATGCCCTACGTTGCTACACAGAGCATAGGGAAAGCTAAATTAATTAGCCAGGCCAATATATTAGATTGTCAATGACCTGTACTTTATGTTGCTACACAGAGCATACAGAAAGCTAAATCAATTAGCTAGGCCAAAATGCTACACAGCCAGTGCTAGCACAGAAGTCTGTTTTTGCAACTATAGCGAGGTTAAGATAGCTAGATGTTGGTGTGTTAGCTAGTTTGGTCTAGAATACAGCTAGCCCGTTGTCCCCGATGGGCCCGTCTACAGGCCGAGATTTTACTGCATGTAATTAAACACTATAAAAATGTATTGAATCTTGATGGCGGTGTTTACTTTCACTTCTCGATCAAATGTTTAGACTCTAATGTTCACAAAACTGGGTCGGATGTCTGTTTTAGTGTAAACGTTACCTTTTTATGTCGATTTTAATCTGTTTTGGTGCGAAATCTGGACATTTAAATTTTGCGACCACCACCGAATCAAAGCTTTACAGTGTAGCGGAGAAAGGCTCCGTGCGGCCATGTCTGTAGTCATTTGAAAGGGGAGAAGCTACTGAATCGATTGACACGTTTCAATCAAAAAACTACAAATCCCAGCTAGGCAAAAAAAAACGTACGTAAAGTGTTCGTAATCTGTGCGCTTTGACCTGCAGCGCCCCAGAGATGAACGCCTAGTTCACACCAGAGCAGTAGATTAAAACAGAGTGGCGACACTCCCATAGACATACGCTGTACAGCCCGGCGGACCCCACTTCCGGGTTATGGAACTCGTAATAGTTCCAACATGACCGCCTGTCACGTCGGACGCCGTTCGCTTCTATGGCCACAAGGCAAGCGCTCATGGCATCAAGTTTAATGCCAATACATGTGTTATTGATATCGAGGGGACCCCTTTATATGTAAAAATGTATATCCCAAATGTAATTACGTTATTTTAGTCAGGAATTGGGATCGATTTTTTAGCCAAGGTTTGCTCCCACACTCCCCGAGGTAAAATATTGTATCAACGAATGTAATGCCAATACGTGTGTAAATGGTATCGAGGGACCCCTTTATATGTAAAACGATTTTAATTTTAGTATGCTCAAATTGTAATTACAAATGTAATTACGTTTTTTTAGTAAGGAATTGGGATCGATTTTTTAGCCACGGCCTGCTAGCTGGACGTCGTCAGCTGTAGAGGCCTGCCAAAATTTATTGTGTGACTGAGTTATGAATCACAGATAAATCATCATCATCAATCATATGTTGAGATGGTTACTTGTGGGCTTTATTTTAGATTTCAGCCTTTATCAGTTCCCGATGTTATATGCAATTTATTCTTTTTAGACTAACATAAGTGCTATGTAATTTGATTTCTGCTTATGGGATGATAGAGTTAAGGGGCCGCTACTTTTTAAATCCTGTCAGCATTTAAGGCGTATGTTTAACATGGAAAAATGTTTTGCAGGCCATGCTGCAAGACCAAAACATTGCACAATTGTTTAAACAGCTTGTAACACCTGTTACTTACCACTTTATTGTATTATTTTCTCTTATTAAAAAGTAACACGTGTTACCAAACTTGTCTTATTTCACTTTTGTTTGTCATCCAGCCGCTAAATATGCGTACGTGACTTTGACATGTACACAGTAATCCAATAAGAGTTGCAAATGTTGACTTTTTACGGTTAATTTTAATATTTACCTCTTAAATGCGCGCTCACTGCAGTCTGCCCCGTTGAAGAGCATGGACAGTGCAGGCTGCGTTTGGAACTATGGAGGGGTACATGAACCACGTGACCGCTCTGGCGGCGAGATCTGAAGTTGTCGCCACTCTGTTTTAATCTACTGCTCTGGTTCACACAAGAAGCGCCGCGCGCGCGCGCAGCGCCGGCTCGCGCTTGGCTGTTCACACATAAAGCGTTTTCTGCTGCGCTCTGACACGCCGGTCCGACATAGACTGAGCCCGGCAGTGCTCGGCTGTTTCCGTGTGCCCTCAGTTTTCTACACTTACGAGCGCTTTAAAAATGGGTAAATCAATATTTATTCACGTTTTTATTTCGTCATACATAAATTAAATATCGGCAGCATCTTCAAGTATTGTTTTAAATTATGATATAGGGGTAAACAACGAATGAATTGGGGAGTCTGTTGACTCCGTTGTATGTTTAGCCTTGTTAGCTCGAGGCTATTGACTGTATCGTAATAAAGTCCCCCTCTGTCTCAAAAACAATCACTGAATCTCTGCAGCTCTCCCTCCGTGTGTGAGTGTGTGTGTGTGTGTGTGTGTGTGTGTGTGTGTGTGTGTGTGTGTGTGTGTGTGTGTGTGTGTGTGTGTGTGTGTCTGTGTGTTCATCGGTAAAAGAAAGACCGACAGGCAACACCGGAAGTCCTTTTTTTCTAATTTATTGAAATTTACTTTATTTTGAAAATTGACCGGATTCTCTCGTATCTCCTGTTCCGACTTCCTGTCTGGTCCGGAAGGCAGAACGCGGAATCACACGCCTATCACTTAGGACAGTCCTGCAAACTCTCTACACGTCAACAAAACTTTCTAGAGGTCTTTTCAAGATGGAAAAGAAAACTTTTGACACCAAGAGGGATTTCGCAGAGATTCTTGCAGAGATTCAGCGGGGGTCAGATGTTGAATTTGAAGACTCATCTGACTCTGAAAGTGGTAATGATGCCGGCTCTGAGGAGGAGGCATTGTTTATGAGCGACCTGGACCCAGTCTATGAGTGAGTATTTGCATATATTTATAAGGCTCAGTGTTGTGTAAATTGATATGCACAGTAAACCTTTGTAAAAAACAAAAACAGTGGTAATTATGGCACTCAATAGTATTGAATATTACTGCAGTTTCACAGTATTAATTTATTTCGGGCTAACTTTGCTCGCAGATACTGCATTTTATCTGCCTTCAAAAATATATTTGATGAAAGAAAAGACATATGAAGTAAATATAAATGCAAACAAAATGTAGTACAGGTGACAGCTTCTTAATTTATTGAATGTTTATGTATGTCCAGAGCTGTACAAATGTTGTTTACCTTTGTTCTACATAGTAATTTATCACCATTTTCACAGCCACCAAGAGGAGGAGAGTCAAGAACAAGCCGGCCCATCAGGGGTTTTCACACCTCCAACAATACCTGCAGCAGTCACCCCTCCCCCACCCTTGCCTGCAAGAGTGTCACCACTTGAAACAAGGTTTGTGTCCTGTGTCCTGAACATTTGTGTAGTTTGGGTCTCTAAAAGAAATAATACACTCTTTACTGCTTCAATTATGTATTTATATGTCTTATTCTTTGTAGAAATTGATGTGAATTATCAGTCTTCTAAATATGTTTCTTTCAACATCTTGTACTCCTTTTTTCATGCAACAGTGAGGAGGAAGAAGAAGGTAAAGAGTTCGTGCCACCACAGCACAGATCCTCTTCATCGTCCGGTTCTTGGCCTTCTTCCCCTGAACCCATGAGAGCTCGTGGTCGTGGTCGTGGTCGTGGCCGTGGCCGTGGCCGTGGAGGGCAAGCCAGCAAGCGGCCAAGACCGGCTCCTATACACCCGGAGGCTCAGCTTGAGAGATGGCACACTAAAGAAGAGCCAGATGTTGAGCCTCCAACACCACGGTTTGAGCCAAAGAATCCACCAGGACCCAGGATCGACACCACGGTACAGTGGTCCCCGCTCAGCCTCTTCAGGTTGTTCTTCAGCAGCAGCACCATAAACACTATTATCAATAATACAAATGCCAATGCTGCACGACGGTTGGCACAAGGTGCAAAATACAAGTGGTCTCCCCTCTCAGGTGACTCTTTCTATCTCTTCCTGTCAATAGTCTTGTTCTTCGGCTTGGTGAGTGTGGACTCTAGGAATGACTATTGGGGGAGGGACTGGCCGTACCAATTTGTCTTTCCTAAGTGTAGCATGACAAGGGACAAATTTGAGGCCATCTTTTGGTCTCTTCATCTCTCTGATGTTGCAGAAGATGAAGAGAATGAAAGAAAAAGGGGAACACCTCAATTTGACAGGCTATTCAAAATCAAGCCACTCTATGGTGAGATTGTGAATGCCTGTAACTCCCTTTTTCAGCCAAACCAGAGCATCACTATTGACGAGCGAATGGTGGCCAGCAAAGCACGCATTGGATTTAGGCAGTACATGAGAGATAAGCCAACAAAATTTGGCTATAAATTATTCGTATTGGCAGATTCTAAAACAGGCTTCACTTCAAATTTCTTTGTTTATCAAGGTAAAGGTGATACCAAGGTCAAACAGAGGGGACAGACGGAGGATGGCCTTAGTGTCACATCCGTCATGAACCTAATGAAGTTTGATCTCCTTGGGAAAGGCTATCATCTTTACGTTGATAACTTTTACACCAGTCCACGGCTTTTCTCGAAATTACTCCAAAATCACACTGTAGCTTGTGGCACCATTCGGTCAAATAGGGAGGGATTTCCTAGGACAACCGTGAACGACCTCCCAAAGAAACCTGAGAGGGGAGACATGAGATGGATAAGAAAGGGCAACCTACTCTTTGCACGGTGGATGGACACAAAAATTGTGAACATCTGCAGCACCTTCCACAAGGCATACAGCGGGGCCACTGTACAGAGGACGGTAAAGGGACCAGATGGACGCTGGCACAGGGGTCCTGTTGATGTGCCAGATGCATGCAGGGACTACAACATAAACATGGGTGGTGTGGACCTCTCGGATGCTCTGATTCAATATGACACCGTCCACAGCAAGACAATGCGGTGGTACAAAACATTTTTCTACCATTTCGTTGATATTGCTGTGGTGAACAGCTTCATTCTCCACAAAGCAGTGGCCACCTGCCAAAACCAGACCCCTATGTCCCTCAAAAGATTCCGGGAGGTTTTGATGAAGGAAATGGTGGAGCAGGCTCAACCTGTTACTGCTGCAGCCAGCCCTGGCCCGAGCGGTACCAACACCTGCATGCCTGTGTTTAGGGGGGGTGATGGCACTCAGCAGCGCAGGAAATGTGTGGTCTGTGCGGCCAAGGCAAAGGAAAAGGCCAAGCAGGTGCAGGGCTACAAGGCAAAGGACATGAAGACACCAGTTTTCTGTTCAAGGTGCAATGTGTCACTTTGCCTTGTGCCCGGAAGAAACTGCTTTGTGGAGTATCACAAAAAGTAATAACTTCTTTGGGTATTCAAGAACCATATTCATCCGTTGTAAATAGTTGGATTTTTTGGACATTTTTACTTACTGTAATATTGTTTGTTGTGTTTTGCTGTGTTTTTTGTTTACCTGCACATTCCATTCCTTTACATTGATCACTTTATATTTTGTTTATTGATTTATTGTTTGTTACATTTTGTTTACAAAAAGAACTGTAGCTGGAAAGCCATTCCATCCCCTTATTGCTCATTGTAATAAGAGTTAGTAGGAGACTAGTCTAATGGAAATTAATTGTAATTTGGAGCCAGTTTTCATCAGAGGTAGAAAATAAACTGGCACAAAGTGTGCCAAATTGTGCCAAACTGAGTCCTCGTCAGGGTGTATCCTTACAAAAACCTTCATGTAGGCTTTACTGTTTGCCCAAATTCTATCAAATTTGGTACATTTGTGGTCAAGGAGTGGATGAAGCTAATCAGTGACATCTGGGGGCCTGAAATCATTGCCAGCATTGTGTTTTCCCCTGTCAAAAAAAGAAAACATTTTGGCGAGGGTAAAAAAACGTAACTTTTCCTCTGATTTATTCCAATTTACTCAGGCATAATGACAGATAAAACACTTCTGACACTTGGAACACATTCTCTGAAGTCTCTAGATGTCCAAGGATACAAAGAACATGCATATAACCTTTAGTAAAGTGTAGTAATTCCTCATTTAATTTGGGTATGTCTTTTAGGCGTTTTTTTCCCCTAAAATATGCTAAGGGCTTAAGGGGCTAGCTATTGGACACCCACCATGAGAGTAATTTAATCTAGTTCTGATTCAATAATGTATAAGTACTGTATGTGCCATGGTTGCATTATCTTGGCTAATTAGTTCCATTATTTGTGTGGCAGTCTGTGGAGCCTAAATATTGAAATTGAACCCAGCCAGAAAGGCAGAGCTCAGCATGATCAGAATTCAGTAGATCCTCACACAGAGCTGCAACCAAACAAGTGAAATAAAAAAATGGTAAATAAGAAAATGATAAATCATTAACAATGAGTAGTATGTTGCTAAATCGAGTGAAAGCAAAGTTGATGGCACTACCTTGAATATTTTTGTTTCATTATTTATGTTAGCTTAGAATGAATAAATTTCAGATGGCAAGATTTGTGCCAAGATGCAGAATGCATTGCAAAATTGCTTGCCATCTGACTATCCCCAAAACATAGTTTGGTTGGGAAAGGCCTCAGCGGAGTCCTTCTGGCAAATGATGCACCAATCCCAGTTCAGTTCTGTGTTGATGCCTCACAAACTGTAACATAAATAATGAAACAAAATTATTCAAGATAGTGCCATTAACTTTGCTTTCACTCTGTTTAGCAACATACTACTCATTGTTAATGATTTACCATTTTCTTATTTCACTCAGAACTCCGAATATATAGCGAATGTGAACAACTTGATGCTTAAATTTCTTCTTTTTTTCATTTTTTTAAATAATCTGCCTATATAGTGCAGCACTTTATTAAGGGTGTATGGGTACCAGGTGTCTTGATACTCTAATTTACACATCGTTTTGGAGATTTAATAATCAGTGAACAAATTAAAATCAGTTTCACCCTCTTAGCAAAAAACAATTTATCACCTATGTTCTCATGACTCAAGAATGTATTTATGTTTCAACTGAACAACAACTGTTGTGTTCTATATGGATACTTCCAATATCTGCGTTGAGCTCCTAGGCTAAAAAGCTTTAGTGTGGCCTGAGGAAGCCTCTTACAAAATTTGGTGCTTGTATCAGCAAGTGTACAATCCGCCTAAAAAAGTAAGCTAAGCCTCTTGACTAACAGGGGCTATGACGGATCATGTACATTATGATGAGATTCTTCAGAAATTTCGGATAATTAATACTAGAAGCATTGTGATATTATATACAAGGAGCACACCTACAATTAATATTTCTTTTTCAAGTATTGATTTATATAAGAATAAAATAATATATTTTATAAAATATTTTTCTGCAGTTTTTCACAACTTACATTAAAAAATTCATATACAATAGAGAAAAGTAATAACACACTGATCCCACACATTTTAATATACACTGTGTCCTTAGACTCTTCAAACTGTAAGACAAGTAGCGAATCATAATTTGCCCGGAAGAGAATTAAGAATAACACCACAGTATGAGAATAGTGCCTCGGGGCAATGGCCCCTATACTGTTGTATAAGGGCCAGTAACCTGGTGCACTTGCCCTGTGGCCCTTAGTACAAAAATAATGATGGTGACAGTTGGAAACTACATCTTACAAGTATTACAGCACTGTGGCTCTGAAGTAGAGGAGTCCATGTGTTGACCTGGCCTACCTGCAGTTACGACTTGACGGCTATTAAAAATGTGGTGCATCATGTCAGGGAACATAAAATCAACATCTGATTTTCAAGGGAACAACATTTTACTCTCAAGTCCCCAGACACTGGTCTCCTTGCTTCAGACTATGTTGCTTCCATCCAAATCAAAATAAACACATATTTTTTAATAAACAATTACTTTTTCGGTGACAACATTTGACTCAGGTGTCTCTGGACTATTTTCAATTATATACAGGCTTGAAATGATTTGCAAACCATCAAAAACCATCAGTTTTTATCAAAATTTTCCAAATCCTCCTGACTCCTGTGGGACTGCAGTGGTAAAATCAGCAGCATATTGGCTCATGAAACCTGACCATAAAGGACATTAAACTCCCTGTTAATTTATTCAACCTACATTTGATCTAATTAGGAGTTCTCTATAAAAATGACGGCTCAATTAATGGGATCAGATTTGCTGTAATAACATACCACCCTCAGCTCCAGGGATAAAAGCTGTGAAGCGAGACCCAAATCAAGGTCAGGAGACTTCACTGGGTTAAATGAAGATCACAGAGAAGGCCTTATACATTCAAACTGCTCTCTGATTTTCACAGCTTACAAAACACTTTGCTCAGTTCCTTACAAAGGTGCTGGTGTTGCTCTGTGATGTCTGTTGGCAACAGTAGTGGTTCTTTTAAATTTCCATACTATCTGCATGTGATTATCATAACCCGCATCTGGCAAATCAGTGTCGGCAGGGAGGTAGACTGCAAAACAAAGTCTGCACCAAAGATATATTTACTAAACTGTAATTGAAACAAATGTCAATACCTCTGCTGCTAATAGACATGATAACAGAGCACTATTTCTCCTGTCTAATTTAATATTAACAAAATGTTGCTGTGTCAGTCCTAGCAGGGTTTTCTATGGAGGTTTGATGGATGATATAAAAGCTTAGAGGTGCTCTGGCTCCCTTTCCTCTGAGGGTTGATAAGAAAACAGAGTTTTAAAGGTGGTTATTCAAAGCTGTTCCAGCTCAGAGTTCTTCGTTTATCTTTAACCTTCAACATCAGTCTGCTAAACCATGCCGACCTTTAAATGGATCACCAATTTTCAACCTTATCTCTACTCATTCAAGCTATGTATATTGTAGAAACACTGGCAAAAATTGAGGGCATTTTCATCCGTCTCTGGGGTGCAGTTGCATAATAAGTTGTTCCTTTGCACCCAGCACTTTCCTTTGATTTGTACAGTGTTGTCATTGAGGGCTGTAAGAACATGTTCTGATAACACTAGCAGGACGTCCACATAAAACACAGCCAAAATGTTTCTTCAGCTGAGCACAAACAGTTTTGGTCTGCCAGAAAATGGTACATTTGTGACTCACTAGTAATACTCGTCTTCTTGAATTTCTACATAATCAGGTAGTGTGGCTCTAATGTACAAGAGGGATACACTTTAATGGCGACTGTTGTTCCCAGTTGTTTAAACAGCAGTAATGAGAAGAGAGTGAGACTCACTAGCTGTAGCAAGCTCTTGACAGGAGCAATGGAGGGAGATAGGAATGTGTTGTGTTCAGGTGTACCTTGGACAAAACTAACCTTTTTTTTTTATTTTAATGCTGCTAAATTGCTACCACAACGACTTGCATACAGTAGGAGACAGCATGTAACAACTAGTGTATAAAACCCACAGTTTGAGAAATGCATGACTGTCTGATCCTATCATTGCAGCGATTTGCAAGGGAATGGTTCATGTTTAGTATGAATTCTTTACTGATTGTACTGTGGGGTAAATGTTCAGTGAATGAATCACCCACTGGACCCAGTTTACTGAGCAGACCAGATAAGCATACCATTGGACAGTACACAAAAAACATCATGATTTATAAACAAGTTCATTTTTACAAACCCATTTGTCAGAGCAGCACAGCCACAATACTCTCATCTCCCGGTCCCAGGAGCTATGATCTGAACTGAATCCTGAAACTTTCAGCTGTGTATCAGTTCAGGAAGTCGGAGTCTCAGGCTACTCCTGTTAAATGCTGAATGATTTGGTGATTCGGTGAACGAATCTTTTGAACGAATCTTTTAAGTGAACTGATTCTAGTGATTCAGTACATCTAGAAGAACTGCCATGCCCATCACAATTGGTTCTGCCTTCTTCCATGATACGAATTTGAAGCCGAATTGCTCTTGGTATTTCCGGGATTTTTTCCATTTCCTGGTACCACCACTTGCGTAGTAGCGTTGTACGCATTCAGCAGGAGAGTCGCTGTGATGACACTCGGCTCGTATCCCCTGGGTGAGATACGGAATCTTTGTATGCCCATAGGCTGTACCAAGTGTCAATCATAGAATATATGAACCCCCTTATTACTTTTAAAAGTGAAGCTGTACAGAAAAAAAGAGGACTTGAGCACAAACCAGTCTTATAGTAACAACATGGCAACATCATAACCAGGGGGGAGAAAAATGTATATTCTGTGTAATTTATTTCTAGAGTTTTTCCACAGCTCCAAAGGGATTGTTAGAAATGGTAGGATTTATGACCTACATTGCAGCCAGTCACCAGAGGGTGCTGTTCTTGCGGTGGCTCCACCCAGCAAGATGGCGTCCATTCTATATACAGTCTATGGTTTCACCCAAAACTCACCTTTATAACCAAGGTACTTCATCCAACTTTTTTACAGCCTGTATTGCATCGTTAGCATCAAGGTTGTCCACTGCCTAACTAGCTAAATATGGTCAGACACACCTCAAGTCACTGCATGATCTTGCTTTGGATTGCATGTTTTACATTGCTGAAATGGGGCTTGGACTTTGCAAGTGCATAGTTCTCTCTGCATCTGAAGACCTTCTGTTACTTCAAAAGACCGTTGTGTCTTTGTAATAAAGGTACTTTGTTAAAACCCCACCCACATACCTGACTGCAACACTTTCATATTCCACCTTGGTCCATAAAACACACTCCACCTCTCCAAAGGAACTTACTGTAATGTTACTTGACTAAAACTGATGCAGAATAATTCAACATGGATGTAATTCCAAAGACGGTTGGCTGCTTCTTCTATTTTGATCCTTTACACCACCCTTCAAATATCTGATGGCAAAGTAATGTTGCTTCTATCCAAGCCTGGAGGTTTGTAGGAGGGTTTTTGGCATTCAAATATTTCAAATCAGCATCAGTATTTTTCACATGCACTGAGCATCGAGGTATTAGTTTAATTTCAGAAAATCTTTTACAGTAACATGCATTGAATTTTATTTGTTACTGTCAAAGTCCATCCTGAAACTAGAAAATATCACTGTGAGCTGAAGTCAGGCATATAAAAAGGTTTTGCTGCTGTTATATATCTTTCGAGAAGGTGTAAATAACATTAGGATTGCAGTAAATACCACAGTAAATAGATAAAACCCCAGAGAGGCAGAGAAATCCTATTTGCTTCAAAGCCATCCATCTGTCTCCTTCTCCTCCTGTCTCCTACTGTGCTCACAGGTTTTCACATTTCAGCCTCCATTCCTCCTGAAATCCTTTTTCAGAGTTATTTCCCCTCACCACTGTATCAAAGCTAACAATGGCAGTTAATTTGTCTCAGTGCTGGAGCAGTTTTCACCTCTGCATTGGTCTGCAGCCACAATCTCCCTCACTGAGCAGATACGTGGCAGCAGAGGGAGAGGTTTCTTGATGAAATCAGCCTAAAAGTGGATCTGACTGCCAACTTCTCCAGCTTTTTGTATTGTAACAGGACAGATAAGACAGACGAGATACCAGAAGAAAGAGACAGAGACACAGAGAGGAAGAGAGATGGAGAGTGGAGGAGATAGAGAGTGGTGGTGATAGGGAGGCTTGGACAGCTCTGGGACTAATTAAACTGCCATTGTTGGCCTTGATACTGAGGCATGAGGGGCTGTGTTGAATGATTCAGGGGGGATACATTTTCAATTTGCATTGTAAGTTCAGTGAGAAATTCTCTGTATACCACTTTATTAGTACCATATTATGCATTATTACCTTAACTATTACATGAAGGTATATCTTGGTCAATGGTGCCCTTCCTCTTGGTCTAAAGTCCTCACTGGACATCATTCCTGTACTAGAAGGATGCTGGATATTACAAATATCTCGTTTCAACCATTATCTCTATGAATGGTGATCATACTGTATGTCCCTAATCTGTTACTTTACTGAAGATAGTGTCATGGCAGTAGTATACAAAACAGTTACAGATTGCACCTCTGAATGAATTGTCTACTTCTCATGTTTTGGTAAAAGACCAACTTGTTAAAAGTTTTATGTTGCATTTTTATTTATTTAAACTAACTGCAACTATTTTTTATTTTATTTGTATTTTATTTTATGTATTTTACCTTTGTTTAACCAGGTTAGTCCCACTGAGATCAGGAAGACCTGGCAAAAAAGGCAGCAACATAAGTTTCAACTTAATACAAACCCATATGTACTGGTAGAACTTTAAGTCCGTAAAAGAAGTAAGCTGAAACAAGTGCAGAAAAGAATTCTGGCTTCTAGGTTTTTTACAAGTGATGGAAATAGAGCCAGGCTAGCTGTAACTGCAAAATAAAATAAAGTCTACTTAAAATAAGTCTACTTTGGGAAAAAGGTGTAGAATACCTGACAGGTTTCTCTCCTGACCTGGTTCAACCTAAACAATAAATTGCACAAAGTCCAGTGAACCAAGGTTGTGAATAACATTCTTCATAGTTAAAAAGGAGAAAAGGTAGCCCAGTATTTGCCCTGAATGTATTTGTTATAAAGATATACTACTGTCCGAGCCAGCATGTACTGAAGGCAGTCCAGATTGAGTTTAAAATATTAATGGTGAATAAGAAAGCCAGAGCACAGAATACATCTCAGTGCACTATAATAAATACTGTCCAGGCTGCGCAGACTTTGAACAGTGACATTTTTATACACCACATTATTATAATCAAGGACAGGTCCAGAAGCAATCTCCGTTTTTTTATGCAAGAGGAAAAAAAAGTATTTTTCAGTAAAAGCCTAGAATAATTTTTATCTTGTGAGTGTAACGGAGGCCTCTGTTGTCTCCGTTACTACTGCAGTGAGTAGCTGAGGATTGGGGCAGCTAAGCAGTGTTGATATATATATATATATATATATATATAGTGCAGGTAGACACAACATTTAGGGTTGTTAAATTAAAAGCTACACATGATTAGCAAATGATGAGCCACAGAGGTATTTCAGTCAAAATACTTTAATTCTGATTTGGTTAATGGTGTGTGTGTGTGTGTGTGTGTGTGTATGTGTGTATTTGTATAGGTGTTCTCCGGGGACGTCCGGTAGCTCGTCCGGTAGCCGGGGGTTAATTTAGCCGCACCACCTGTAACACAGTGCACACGATGTGGATGAGGGTTTCAGCATATTTGTGTGCTTGAGTAAAAGGTGGAAGTAGTGCAGTTTAAAATCAGTTTGACGTGAATATTGTGAACACTTACCTGTGCCTTTCTGTCTCCACTCCCAGGGTGCACATGTAAAAGAGTCCCCGGGGAAACAAACGGCCTTTTAGCGTTCCGGGAGGGTTCCAACTGGCAGATGGGTATGGGGGGTGAACAGTGCCACGTGTAACATTTAATTGGGAGGATGATCACAGTATGTGATTAATGTACACTCGAAATTAGGTTCTGTGATTTAGTCTGGATCATAGGTTTGTATATTTTAAGTAGGTGCTTTTTAAATAGTTATATTAAACTGGTTACAGTTTTTCCACACCCCTACACGTGGTAGCACCCAATCGGGGAGGGTATATAGGGGAGCGCTTTCCTCTGAGCTGGGAGTCTCTCCTGTGCACAATGGACTGAGCATGGTGTGTTTTATTGGTTTTTGGTTTATACACTGCAAATAAATACCCACTGTGTGGGTTTAACTCATCTCCTGCCTCTGCCTCCTTATATGGTCACAGCCGCTCTCAGGGTCAATTCTTACAGTGAGTAACAAACTAAATATGGTTCTTGGAGGCTATCATCAATTAAAAACCTGAAGTACTTAATAGCAGATAGATACCAACTCTGACAACCCAGTTCAGTAAGAATTTTCCCACATTTGACTGTGCACATTGTTCTTAAAGATATAATACACATGGATTTGGTTTACTCCTAATTTAGAACAAACTGTCATTGACAAAGCAGATCTTGTACTAAATCATAAACATGCTGGAGGTTTAAGAAGTTATGCAGTTATCTGTAGAGCATCCAAATGCTCCTAATTTCAGCTTATCAATTAAGGCAAATCTCTGCAAAAATGCTTGATCATAATACCAACAGCCGTTATGCCACTTTTATGCTTTGTGGTGAAGCCACAAAGCTAGTTTGCAGTACAAGCAGGAAGACACGACTAATGCAAGCTGAAATAGCTGCTGTTCCTCTCTGCCACCATCCTTGTAAAATGACAGCTTTAATGCTGGATGAATAACAACTTATAGCCTCACAGAGATGCTCCCCAGGGACACAGTGAACACTGGCAACAACTGAGGGTGTTTTTCACACTACACAGTTCCCTGAGACAGATAAAGATATGTTTGAAAACCAGCTGGACTTCACAACTTCCCCTAATGTTCCTGAAGCTTTAGGATGGTTACGACTGGTTATTTTTGCTCAAGATGGTAGTTGATCAACCATTCTGCAACTTACTGTAATGACTTCTCAGGCTTTGGTGTTTGTTTTATTTTGAGCTGTTTTATTTCATGTGTACATCATGACCATTGACTGTATGTAGAGTGAACGTCATCTGCCTCCTTGCTGGGTGAAGCCTCTGTGAGAACAGCACCCACTGATTGCAGTATAGATCATAAACCCTGCCTCCTCCAGCAAAATGAAAGGAGCCATGGACAAACTTAGAGTGTTATTAGGGGTTATACAAAAGGGAAGTTATGTCACCTGAGTACAGTCAATGGGCTTACGAAGACTGCATATATCATTCACCGGTTCTAGGAAATGGAGAAAATTCTTGGAAATACTGGGAGCTTGTTGGTGTCAAATGCGTTAAATGGTGGTAGGTAGAGTCACATTGTCTATTCTATACACAGTCTGTGGTCATGACACATACATACAGTAGATGCCTCTTTTTCCCACAGAAAAAAAAACTGCCACTGTGCTCACAATATGATTACCATTGCTGTGGATAATTATGATATTATGACAACAAATTAGTACAGTGTAGATTACAATGCAGTGGATATGACTTATCCCCAAAGAGACCACACTAATTAAGATATTTTGTTGTTAGAGCCCTGGATAAACACACAAAAGTCATTGTGCATGTTATCATATAGTCTCAGACTGTTAATCCACATGAGATTTAAATAATTAAGATATAATAGCTTATACCATATCTCATTATTTCACACAATAGAAAGCCACAGTGTAGAAAGACAGGCTAAATTAAACCAGTAATCCCAGTGGAATGGGATTAAACCAGGGAGCAATTATTATTTCCATTACCAAATCTGTAACAAGGCCAGAGACTGGATAACAGAGTACAGAGGGGAAATGTGCCTGTGTGGAAAAAAAAAAGAAGCTTTTTTTATGTGTGGCTTTATTAACCCTGTTTGTTATATACTCATCTGTACCAACAACCTTGTGTCAGATGACTGTGGATAAATCTTAAATTGTGTTGGAAATCTAATGCATAGAGAGAAAGGCTTAGGGTTATATTCAATTAATTCACTTTAAACTTTCCTCAAGTGAGAACAGAGACAATTTAAAAGCTCCATATTGTGTGAAAGCCCCATCTTATTTCACTTCCCTCTTTCTGACAGGGTTTGTTTTGATACTCAGTTTTCTTTAACACAGTTATTTTGTTGGACTTCTGGGTCAAACTGTGGAGCATGCACAGAATTCTTAGTCCAGATTGGTCTGATTGGGGTGTATACATGCGAGAAAAAATGGATCCCCAACCACATTATCTAAGTATAGTACTGACTATTAGAAATTTAATCCAGTTCAATCTCAGTCAGACTAGCATGTTTGCTTGTATGGTTTAGGTCCAGTTTGGCTAATGTCAGTGTGAGTATACAAACTACATTTAACATTTTAAGCACTTTATCTCCCAATCAAAAGTAAACTGTTCATTTAGCATTTTTCTTTAATGTGGCAAATGTGTATTTTTCCTAACTGCAGTGTGCCGATGAACTGTTGGGGTCTGCAGCATTCAAAAGAGACAAGACAGCAGGGGAGCAGGTGAGATCTTAAATTACCAATGCTGATAAACCATGAGCTAATGCTGCATTCCAGTTGTACTTGGAAGTCGGGATTAAAGAGCTCCGTGTCGGAAATTCATCTGGAACGGCCCCTTAAATCAGATTTCCGACTCGGAAAGTCAGACGATCCTCATTAACCCAAACTTGATGACGACGTCATAATCCAAGATGGCAGCGTAGTGTATCAACAGTATGGTATGGTATGGTCTTTATTGTCATTGCAACTTGTGCACAACGAAATTGCATTTACAGATGGGGAAAGTACACACACGAGGGAGGGAGAGGAGGAGGTTAAAAAAAGAGACTGCTCTCATTAATATGAGTGCAGTGACAAAAAAAAACCCCCGCAGCAACATGAGCACATTACTGACACCACATACATAGAGATTCGGAGACATGCTATGGTTGTGGCGGGGTGGGGGGGTGGAATGGGTCATCAGTGATGGTGGGAAACCCACAGCCGGGCGCCGCCAGTCAGGGTACCACCCACCGCACTGAGGGGTGAAGCGTCTAAGGCGTTGGGTGGGGGAGAGGTGAGTGTGTGCATATGTGCATGTGTGTGAAGGTTCATAGATGCGTGTGTGCGTAGGCCCAGGAGGTCACTCCGTCCATCGCCACAATCTTGGTGCCGCAGGGTGTCAGCGCGATAACACAGCGGTTGCTGTGGTGATGACCTTGATTGAGTTCCAGACGAAGTCAACAATCCGCAGGTGTCCGTGAAGGAGGGGGTTGGGGAGGAAACCCCCTCCTACATGGACACCTGCGGTGAAAGTAACAGTAAAAGCTCTTGTAATGTATTATTTATCAGCACTTCAGTTTTGTTTTTGTGAAATTAAAAAAAATTAAGTGGTATGTGTTGTACTGCCCAAACTCTAACTGTGAATACAGTGCTATTGTGTTTTAAGAGTAAAATACTGTTATCCGTTGTTTACAACTGGCTAACAATGGCTAACAACTGCTGAAAACCACTAACAACAACTGACAATGGCTAACGACAGCTGACAATTGTTAACAACAGCTAACAATGGCTAACAGTAGGCATCCATCTTGGTTTTCCGACTTGTTTACTGGAACACCTTCAACTCAGATGTCACGTCATTCCCAGCTCTGACACCCGACTTCGGAGGTAACTGGAATGCAGCATAAGGCCCGCAATCCAAAGTAACTACTAGCTTTCACAAATTACACGTGGAAACAACAGAATTCCATTTCAGACCAGAGGATCAGATACAGCTGCTGTCTGCATCACTCAGCGAGCACAACTCCCCACCAGAAGACGCTGTGATAAATTAATGCCATTAAATTGCATGGTGGTAGGTGTTGAAGAGGAAGACTGATGTGAAATAATATCTTCAGGGAGTAATGTGTAAGCCAGATAATCCTATGCATTTGGTGCTCAAAATAATGTCAGAATAAGATGCAAAAACATCACAATTCAGTATGTTAGTGACTGTATTTTCACATTAGCTGTTTGGTGCACTGCAGGCAAAATAACTTGTATGTTCATTACAACGTATGACAATCAGCCATCAAGAGAAAGCTCACAGTGGGAATCTCGCTGTATTTATAACAAACACGAGGATGCTCAGTTTTCAATAAACAGTCAAATGGCGTTATTAGGGACTGAGCTCATTCCTCTATCTCCTGACAACCCCATCAGGACTAAGATCTTACTGGACAATTCAAGGTCACATCATCATCAAGGTGCATCTGACACACTTTCACTCCCAGACACACAAACACACACAACCATAATTACACTTGGAGGGTGTGAGCAGAAATGATTTGTTTCAGTGGTGATTTCTAATTATCTTCTCAACTGGCGGGCTGATCGTCGAGGTGTGAGTCAGAGAGACATTGAGTGGATTTGTGTGCATGTGTTTTCCAGCATAATGTGAATCTGCATGGTTTTGAATGAGGAAATGAGTGGTGGAGACATAAGGATATTAGGTTGTGACAGGGTACATTGCACCGGGCTTTCCTTTCCTTCCTGAATTAGTTTTATGCAATCATTTCCATGCTGTCGAGTGTAGCTACATCATTATTGTAAGATAATGCAGTGTGGAATTACCATCAGTCTGCAGTTTTAGTGCACCACAGCTGCACAAAGGAATAAAAATGAAAATACAGTCACTGTGTTTGATTACAAAACTCAGGAGAGTTTCTACAGTCTGCCAGTTGCTTTTTGTCTGATATGTAAAAAAGTGTGAAAAAGAAGAATCTCTTGAAGCTCACAGTGGATGAAAGCAAACAGGGGCAGTGATGGAGAGCTGGGAAGGCACATGTAACAGCATCAGGAATGAAAAAATTACATTTTTAAGGCAGATACAACATGAGGGTGTGCCACAATGCTGTGTGATCTGTGTGATCAGCTGACACCTCTGCGGAACAAGATGAACATTTTTAGTAAAGTTTAAAGAGTTAGCATGCTCAAGGAGGGATTGCAGATGGCAAGCTGTTGGCTAATCCTCTAAGGTATCCTTTACTGCAGCAACATGTTGCAAGTGTTTTTCTAAAATAATGACTTTACTGCGACTGAGAAGACCACTGAGACAAAATATTTATGTCATTAAAAAAATGTACATAAAAAAATTTAATAAAATTATGCCTTGTAAAAAAAAAAAAATGTAATCATTTTCCTTTAACTTTATTCCCATCAGAAAATGATTCGGACATTGTTTTTTTAATTAAAAAAAATAAATCTTCAAAAAATCTTGAAAAACAAACAAAAAAAAAAAAACTATACAATGTCGTAGAAATTAAAAATTAATCAATCTGACATAAAACGGCTTTTTGTATCTGTGCAGCTTAAACATGAAAATTGAACAAATAGAAAACAGTTGATCCCAATAAATTTATTTAAAAAAAAAAAGAAAACAAAATAGGCAAAATACTTTGAATGAAATTATATTTAATAAATAAATTGGATCGAATTTAATTTTGACTCTCATGCACCTGCATCGTCAGTGCGTCGTCTGTGGTTGCCATCAATATGGAACCAAGGGTATTTAAGCTCAGCTTAATGTTCCAGAGTCCCAATTTGCTCCTGACTTTGGTGACGAGTAGCTGCAAACTTTTGGCTGTGCGAAGCGAACCTTTGGAAAGCTCAAGAAAGCAACTGAAAACCAACTGTTTCTGTCTAAAAAAAAAAAAAACCCACCGGAAAGATTGTCGACTGCGGACACCCAAGAAGACTGAGATAGCCTCCAGGAGACCTGACCAGGACCACCTGCTGCTCGAGGATGAACCAATGGACGACCACTGTGCTGTCTTGAAGACTTAAAAACAGGCAACTGGACTGTGTAGAGTTAAGAAGACGTTTCGCCTCTTATCCAAGAAGCTTCTTCAGTTCTAAAAGTGCTAGTGTCAGGAGCAGATATTTATCTTACTGGAGAAGGGGGACAGTTAACGACTGACTGGAGTTGAAAAGAATGGGTCGTAGAAACCCATCTCTCGGTGTGTCCCCCCCAAGTCGTTATCCTGAAAGGGTCGTTAGCGACTCCTATCATGTGACCGCATGACTCATGCCACCTGAGTCATGTGGTTCCAGGTGTGAATGTTTGTGGAGCTTTCTGGGGAGAGAGCTGAGAACTGCATTGTAAGTGCCAGAGAGATTGTGCCTGAGTCCACCCCCTCTGTTCAGAGAAGGTTTCTCCAGCCTGGTAAAGATGGCTTCTTTAACTCCTCTTTCAAACCATCTGTCTTCTCGAGCCAACACCTGTACATCGCTGTCCTCAAAAGAGTGACCTGTATCCTTCAAGTGAAGGTGGACAGCTGAGTCCTGACCTGAGGAAGTGGCTCTCCTGTGTTGAGCCATGCGCTTGTGAAGCGGTTGTTTAGTTTCCCCAATGTACAGGTCTGAGCATTCCTCGCTGCACTGGACAGCATATACCACATTACTCTGTTTATGTCTCGGTGTTTTGTCCTTGGGATGGACTAGCCTCTGCCTTAGTGTGTTACCAGGCTTGAAATGAACAGGAATGTGGTGTTTGCCAAAGATCCTCTTGAGTTTCTCAGACAGGCCTGCAACGTAAGGGATTACAGTGCTCTTGCGTCTCTCCTCCCTTTCCTGTTCAGTGTTATTTCTCTTTCTGTTCTTCACAAAGGCCCACTTAGGGTATCCACAGGTTGTCAGGGCATTTTTGATGTGCTTTTGTTCCTTTTCCTTACCTTCTTTCTTCGTGGGAATGTTCTCGGCCCGGTGGTTGAGTGTTCTGATGACACCCAGTTTGTGCTGCAGAGGATGGTGGGAATCAAAAAGTAGATATTGATCCGTGTGTGTTGGTTTCCTGTACACTTCAACGTTGAGACACCCATCTGCCTCCAAGTGTACAGCACAGTCCAAAAAGGCCAACACTTTGTCCTTGACATCTTCACGGGTGAACTTGATGTTGCTGTCCACTGTGTTGATATGGTCAGTGAAGGCCTCTACTTCATGTGTTTTGATCTTAACCCAGGTGTCATCCACATATCTGAACCAGTGGCTAGGAGCAGCTCCCTTGAAAGAGGTTAGGGCCTTCCTCTCTACCTCTTCCATGTACAGGTTTGCCACTATTGGAGAAACCGGGGAGCCCATCGCGCATCCGTGTTTCTGTCTGTAATGGCGCTCTCTGAACTGGAAATAGGTGGTGCTGAGGCAGATGTCCAATAAGGAGCAGATGTGGTCCGGGGTTAAGTTGGTTCTGACTTCCAGTGTGCTGTCCTGTGAGAGGCGTTGTCTTACTGCTTGGACTGCCTCTGTTGTTGGAATACTTGTGAAAAGTGATGTGACATCATAGGAAACCATGGTTTCATCTGGGTCCAACCTGATGTCCTTGATTTTCTCAGCAAAGTCCTGTGAGTTTCTGACGTGGTGAGTGGTGTGGCCGACAAGAGGAGCTAGGATGGTGGCCAAATGTTTTGCCACTTTGTATGTGACCGAGTTAATGCTGCTGATGATAGGTCTAAGGGGCGCCCCTTCCTTGTGTATTTTTGGTAATCCATAAATGCACGGGACAGCTTCCCCTGGGTACAGTCGGTAATAGAGTGGGCGGTCGATAACTCCATCCTTTTCGAGCTGTTGAAGTGCACTGATAACTTTCTTTTTGTAGCTGTTGGTGGGATCCCGTTTAAGAGTTTCATAGGTGGCAGTGTCACTGAGAAGGCTTGTTACCTTGTCATGGTAATCCCTGGTGTTGAGTACCACAGTGCATCTCCCCTTATCTGCAGGCAGGATGGTGATGTTTTCATCTTTTTGCAGTGATGCCAAGGCTCTTCTTTCCTGCATGGTCAAGTTGGAAGGAGGTGTTTTGGCATTTGAGAGAGCAGCTGTTAACTCTACACAGTCCAGTTGCCTGTTTTTAAGTCTTCAAGATAACCATGACCTGGATGAATGAGAATCTACATGGACCACTGTGCTGGTAAGACGATCTGGGTGTTTGAATAGAACGTTGAAAATCAGATAAACTCGACGTTTGCTCGATGATTTTTCATTACAAAAAGGATTTTTATGATGGAAGTTAAATCTCAAATATCCTGGGACAAGGTCGGAATGTGTTAACAGTCAGTGTAGTGGTTTGAAGACTTAATTTTCACCGAAATGTCAATGTATTCAAATGTTTCTAAAATGTTCAGATTCTTTTTTTGTTGACCTACTGATTTAAAACCATAAAATTCTGAAATTAGATCATCATGACATTAGGACTCACGTGTGTAAATTTTAGCAGTGTACACGTGACTTTAGTCTGACTCTCTGTTAAGGCTTCACCATGGATCTGGAGTTGATACCGAAATATCGAGTCCTTTCAGTGTCAAAATTTATGACTTTGAATGAACTTATTTTCTAATATTCCTGAAAATAAACAGAAAGATTCCTGATGTTGTTTTAGAACTGGATTGGAAAATGTCTGACTGGCTTTAAACTCTAACTGTTGCGTTTAATCCTTATATGTTATTGACATGTCAATTATTTCACTGTTTGCATTTGACATTATTTAGTACATTAATTTAAAATCCAGGATGCAACCCTCTCCAACACCTGCCATGATGCATAGACAGTAAACTAGAGCCACAGAGGGTTAAAAGTGTTTGATGTAAACAGAGGTACCCGTGGTTATCCTGGAGAGTCCATGAGATTGTCTAAACTGGGTTTAATTGAGTACTGTTGTACTAAATATTTCTAAATTAGGCTGTGCTTATTATGGTTCATATAGAGCAGATAGGTAGCTTTTTAAATAAATGACAAAGCTAATTGTAAACTATAAATGGCTTTATCTAACATAAAAACTAAAGTTCTTGAAATAGTTCGATGGAAAATATATCTATTTACATTTGTGTGCGGCTGCATATGAACCTGTGCCCCACTTTGATTTCTTTATTGAAGCGTTTTGCTCTATTTCTGAGCATCAATTATTTTGTGTGTGTGTAGATATATATATATATATATATATATGATTCACTGATGTTTGTTTCCTCAGAGAATATTTCAGGTCAGTGAACAGTAAAAATAGATAAATGTACTGCAGCTTTCTTGCACTCATTCTCTCACTGAATCGATTTTTTGTCCTTATAAGTTTTGTTTCCACCATTTGATAATATTTTTGTTAAAGTTCAGCTTTTAATTTGTATCTCAGACTCTTCAGCTTCATATGTTAATCCATCTAAAATTCATAAATCAAAGTTTTGAACATTGTAAAAATATAACACTGACACATTATATCAGAGCTAATTAACACAGGAGAGTTCATATTTCTTTAATAATACAGGGACTTCATGATGTTTGATATAAGAGTTAAAGTCATTTCCTGTGTTGATAATTCAGTTGATGTAGAACAGTTGTGAGAAATTTATGTGAATTCAGATTTACAAGATTTAGTTTAGTGTTTTTACTTCTGTAAGACAAATATTGTAAGTTACTGGAGAAGACACACCTTAAAATCTTATTCTTAAATGTTCTGACTCTTCCTCATCAGATGGCGTGGACTTCATCGGCAGTCAGTGGAGAACACCGTCCCTGATGTCATCATCACTTTGGACGATGTCCCAGGTGACATTGTTCCAGTTTACATCTCTTCCTCTGAAGATGATGTTGATGAAAATGATGTTGATGATGCTGTTCTTGTTTTGGCAGGTGGAGATAAAGGCATGGAGGCTGAGGTGGCCTTTGAACAACAGGTGGACATTGCGGGTGACGACAGTGACGACAGTGACAGTGACACTGAGCTCAAATCAAAATTCACTCCACTCACAACTTGTATGGATGTGGCCCACCAGCCATCCCTATACCTGTTCTCCCTCCAAGCAACCCTCCAGGACACACCACCCTGGGAGCCTCACAGCCCAAGGGCCTCGTCCCAACCGCCATCCACCACAGCACCCAACCAGGACTCAACCTGGACCGAAGTGATCACCCGAGGTAGGAAAACCACCAACACCATCTCCTGGAACCCGGCTGGGCCTACCTCAAGCTCCACGCCGAGCAATCCACTGCCCCACTCCGAGGTCCTCGCCGGCGGCAGGACAAATCCCTCCAGCGATGCCTCTACAGTCCGGTTGTCCCTCTCTCTTCTAGGCCCTTGAGCATCCTCCTATGCCTGCCAACACCAGCCCGAACCAGTCCCCTCTCAGCGGTGACGTGGTGGCGTCCTCCACAGCAGCTGCCGGAGCTCCCATGGCTCCTACACGGCCACCCAGCGGAGCCCCCAGGCCTTCATCCTAGTCCTTTCGGTGCCTTCGCGGCATGCCGGCCTGAGGATCCTGCGGCCTCCGCTCTTCTGGCGACCAGCCCCCGGGCGTCATGCTGGCATGAAGAACACCTCCCTGCCGGCGTGCGGAGAGATTCCTGTGTGGCCTGCCCCTCTCTGTCGGTGCCTGGTCGCGCGCAGTGTCCCGGGACCCACCTTGACCACCGCTCGGAGAGACTGACTGTGTCCCCGCAAGAGGTTTCTCCGAGATGCAGTCCAACGGAACTCTGCCGGGCCCGCCACCCCCCTGCCGCCCCAGACCGAAATGGCAGACCATCCCTGCTACCGCTGGTGTCCACCGCACCACCGAGACCTGGCAGCCCAGCCACCTGTCCTGCTTCGGGTACAGGAGCCATGCAATCCCCGCCACTGTTTCCCCCGACCACCTTGATTGTCGGTGACAGCATCGCACGAGGTATCCGTTTTTTCAATGCCATCACTCGCTCTTTCCCTGGTGCAACTGTCGCCGACATCACGGCAAAACTCCCCGGTCTTCTCCAGTCACTTCCTCCCTCTATTCACCGTATCATTGTTCACGTCAGCACCAACGAGACGGCTCACCAACAGTCTGAACTGACCAAAAGTGACTTCAGAACACTTCTCCACATCCTGCAGTGCAGCGGCAAATCTGTTTTTATAAGTGGTCCGCTACCAATGCTGATACGAAGCACTGATCGATTTAGCTGCCTCCTCAGCCTGAGCTCCTGGCTTCGATCACTCTGCAGTACCTTCTCCACCCACTCAATCCACATCTGTTCTGGAACCTATTGCCATTTTTCTCCCATGATGGACTTCACCTAAACAAACTGGGCCATTACACACTTGCCGCTAACATCCAACACTATGTGCACACCAACTGACTAGCATTGTTTACACCCTCCCTGTCAGCAATATTATGCTAGAGTAAATATGCCAAAATGTGGTTTGATGGATGTGGATGAGATGAGAGGCGCATTTCTTATTAGCAAATCAAAATGACTCTAAAAGAGGGAAACTAAACTTTCATGAGTTTGTCAGTATGTTATGTGATTAAGTCAGGGCCTTTCATCTTTATTTGCACTGGGATAAACTTTAAGTTTTCACACCTCAAACCAGTGGGGCCTGGCAGAAAAGTTGGAACCACTGTTCACAGCCCCAACCAAGCACACAGATAGCTGCATAACAATGTAAGTAAAAGCCAAATAAAACATCACATGTCCTATGAAGTCTATCTCAACAGGGGATATTGTAGATTTGCTAAAAATCAGCTTTTTTTCTTACTTTATCCTCTGGACCTTTCTTTTTCTCTGTAGTTTTGCTCAATCGTTTTTCATACTCTGATTCCCACACAGACCTTCTAACCCTGTGTTAACTTGACACGTTTCCCCTCTCCCTGGTGAGATTTAAAGCCTCAGATCCAGTAAAAATGGCTGACCATTAAACCTCCCTGAGGCAACACAAAGTCTCTGCTGGGACTAATCCTTACAGTATCTGCATAAATCAGTGTACTGATGCATGTAAATCTCTGCATGTGTTTGTGTGAGCAGAAGACAGAAAGTTAGAGGTGCAGGTGATTAAAGGAACATTTCACAGGCCTGTAAGCCAGTGTTATGTCACGGCCCCAAAACTGTGGAATTCTCTCCCTCCCACCATCAGATTCTCCCCCACCACTGAGACAATTTTAAGACTCAACTTAAAACCCATTTTTACTCCCTAGCTTTTAACTGTCCCTAACTTTTATACCTCAGCCATTTCCCATGTAGGCTCTGTGAGCTCTGTAGGTCGGTAGATCTGTGTTGTCTTTATCATTGTTATTATTATTGCTGCTGCTTTTGTTATTATTATTACTGTTATTTATTATAACTATTATGAATGATGATGATAGTGATGGTATTGAAAATATATTTCTATTGCTATCGTTATAATTATAACTGTCACTCTGTTGTTTGTTGTCTGTTGTTTGTAACTTGCTATATAAATAAAGTTGAGTTGAGTTGAGTAATGTCTTCCTTGACCTTTACAATATGTCCTCACTGAAATATCTTTAAATACACCATTTATTGTCACAGAGGAAACTCAACAGCATTTGTTTTTACAGAAGTTGGTGGTAAAGAACATATAGAGAGAGTCTCTGTAAGGAACTTTTTGACCTTTGTGAAATTCATACTGACGCAGTTTGATGCAAAGGCAATCAATACCATCAATGACAAGCTCTTTGCTCTTTATCATTTACTTTTCATGTAACTTCTCAAACTAATTAACCCCATTTCCTCACATTAGCCTTTGTTATCGTATTGCGTTTCAGTCACAAACCAGAGGCATTTTTAAAGGCTGCCACAGTAAACATTCAACGACACACCTCGGATTTGTGCTGATTTTCACAGATTCTGCCTCTCTTTTTTTGCAAATACTTCTGCTTTGCCGTTAAAGTCTTATTAATGCAGAACAACCCATGTCCTATACTGACTCAGAAAAACTGGACAAGGCTGGAAACCAACAGTTTGCAGGTCATGTGTGAAAAGTGCTACCCTGTAAATCTGGCCTGTTGATTTATTGTTTTGGACCTAGAATGTTCTGCTTGCTATTGTTGCAGACTATGAGCTGATTCGTACTTCCAGATGGAAACCAAATTAGACACTTTGTCTCACACTAGAGTGAATTTATGAAGAGAATGACTTTTGTTAAATTTTCAGACTGAAGGTTGATATACCATCCCATATCTATACAGAGGGATGTTCTACAGCCTTTTAGGAACTGCAGGATATTATCAAGCTGGCAGACAAAGAAGGCCAGGCAGTAATCCAGGAAAGATTTGATAACCTGAGGTCCATAGAGAGCTTTGCAAGTCTATTTACCCTGCCCCTGGTCTGAGTTAATGCAGCCTAGAACACAGGTAATGGTCCAAGAAATAATGTCTGAACTGTGTGAAGAAAATAGACTACAGCCAAACAAATTGTGTCTTCAAAAGGGCAAGACTAATGCTGCTCTGGATTGTTTTTACTGGTGGTCTAAAATACATAAGAGGCCTGGATCTTGGTCTGGTTTAGAGTTCCTTTGGGTGTGCCAAAAGTAAATGATAGAAAAGGCTACAGCACATCAGCATTTACTGTTTTTTTTCTCTTTATTGCCACCCAAATAGAGTGTTACTGTCTTAAAAGCAAACAAAGGCATTAACTGTGCATTTACTGTGTGCAAACACCTACAAGGTTTAAAACTAAGCATAGTGTAAGCTCAGGTGGGCCACAAAGCCACAGTACAGCAGCCTATCTTGACACCAACTGGTACCACCCATTAGCTCAGCCAGTTATGTTTTGCACATCTAACCAATACATGTCAAAATGGAAATTATATTTACACTGCCTCAGCCTGCCTACTTTTGCTGCAACGAAACTCACCTCCACCCCAGCTCCTCCTTTTTATGTTGTGTCTGATTTGAATGTCACTGATGCCTACAGGGGTCTTTGCTGCTGCTCCCCCTGCCTTATCTCTCCATGTTTGAGAGGAGGTGTGCTCTCCTCACTGCAGGCTTTGGCACATATCTACATATGCACATGGAAGGGGCATGGAGCCACAGAGTGCTAAATTTCTGGATTCAAATAGAGGCTTTTTGATAGTCAAGATACTTTAGTTATTAGAGAAGTTGTTTCAGTCCTCCTAATGTTGTCTGCAGCACAGGATGTTCTGATAAACCGAACGTATGGAAGAGGTGAGGGCGAGGTTAGCATCTGCTTCATCAGAAAGGAGGAGCTGTCTGCAAACCTGCTATGAATTTTTTGGAAATCACCCAGCCTTTGGTACCCCAAAGAGGAGATAATGAGCAGCCTGCAGCATCTTTTTGACAGCCAGAATAGGCCTGTAGAAGATCCTGTACTCTCTGTGCTGCTCTGACCTCTTTGCAAAGGTTTACTCTTAATGAAACTCAGAACTTGTTGTTCAGCTTTTTATTAAAATAAATTTCCACCATGGGAGGTAAATACACTTTTGCAGAAAATAATTTCATTTCGAAAGAAAGAAAGTCTGCCCATACCCAGAAAAAAAGTGGGAGAAGTTTTCCACCGTTTCCTTTAATCTAATTGGCTGAACTGTAGTGTATGTTTTCTGTACTCTGTTGTTTTCTTAAAATGTAATTCCTCTTAGACTCAGTCTCAGTAAAATGTAAATCTTGAAGGGAAGTAAAGCCTCTAAAGGCCTCATATGGGAGCTTAGGCTGTCAACACTCATTTGTACTGACTAAGAGATACTGTAACACACAAACAGCACACATTTGCATAGATAACATTCACAAACAGGGATAGACACAATAATGCTTGCAGACACATACAGCACCACCCTCTGTGCAGATGAACGCAAAATGACATTTCAATTTACCTTTTTGGGTTCCGTTTTGCATACAGATGAACCTCCTTTCTGCAGAATGAAAATGCAAAAAAGGGAAAAGAGAAAGGGAAAGAAATGGAGGCGGAGAGATGAAATAAATGCTGACAAAGGAACAACAACAAAAAAAAAAAAGCCAGTGGGAGTGAAGGAAGAGGCAGCACCTTTCAAACAAATGACAGTTTTATAAAAATGGAGATGACTTTACTAGTATGACAAAAACATGGTAAGCTTACAAAAAATCTCCAGACAAATGGATTTGCTTTAGAAACAAATGTGATTATCCCGCCCAACTGGCATATTTCTTTCATTAGTTTCCAGCAGAATAAGATTTTATGTCCCAGCTCTTGATTAATGAAACATAGATGGAAATTTTTCAGTGTGTCGGAGCCTTAGCGCAGTTATTTTAGAAAGGGTTTGACTGAGTGTGAAAGTGGATCATAAAGTATCATAAAGTTAGTGTAGTGTTGCAGTAGATGAGGGCTGTGAGGTGTGATGACAAGAACTACAGTACATTCTTTGAAAGTGCTATTTCTCTCAGTCAGTCTCTTTAAATTCATAGAAACTTTCCTTCCCTCTGTCTTTCTTCTCTTCATGTTAGTCTACAGGCACTCCCTTTTTCTTATGACCTTTTTTAAGTTAAAGGGATATTTTGGCGTAAATTTAAGTCATGCTCAAACACACTGTAACACCGAGTTAGACACCCCCTCGAGAGATAAATGTTGCTGACCACTTGCTACACAGCGGTCTATGTCTCCATGTGCAAACCTCAACCAAAAAGCCACTTTATAGCCACAAGTAATGCTCAGAACAGCACCAAAGTTCATCAACAGTACATATAGGGTCCCAGCCATAGTACTAGCCATCAAACATCTTTTTAGCTTTGCCTGATTTCTTTAGCAAAGAGACCAAACACAACCCACCCACTCTTCTCCAGCAGCTGCTTGTTGGTGGGGGAGCAGTTGTAACTAAAGTTGGTATAACTAGAGAAGCAAGCAGTCGGCAACATTCATCTGTCGATGTGGTGTCTAACACGATGTTATGGTGTGTTTGACCATTACTTAAATCTATGCTGGAATATCCCTTTAGGAACTACTGACAGAAGCATGTCACACTCCACTATAGTAGATGGAAATAGGAATCAGGAAAACCATCCTTACCTTTATCTTCTGTTTGTGTGATATGACAGTTCTGTCCTGTTTATGTCAGATGAGTATGTTGTCTGACTATGTGAAGTTTGATTTAGTGACTGACACGCTGACGTGGATTTTTAGAGTCCAGCTCCAGTTGAACTAATGCGGTTGTATGTGTTGTATGAAAAAGAGACACTATAAATTGCACATTTTGCTTCAAAGACTTAAGAGTAACATTTTTGAAATGCAAAAAGATGGGGATGAGATCAAACTTCATCAGAAATCTATGCAGGCACACTGAAGAGTATAAAAACA